TCATTTTTCAGACCTAAAAAGTACCCAAAAAAAGAAGTTCTCACCAGTTGTTAGTGCAGCAAGTATCTTCTTTGACAATGGCGCATCTCCGACGTGATCTTGTCCCACATAGAAAGTTTTAACCTGTCAAGTACGAGAATGTTTTGAAGTCGAAAACCCAGTGAAGCAACACACAGATGATGGACTTTCGCAAATTCATGTAAAACTTACAGGCTCATATAACCCGATCCTTAACCCTCCATATAAGCATTGACGATGTAACCCTGGCACGATGCCTTTCCATAGAGCGGTTAACCCTTCTTCCCTTGCAATAGTGCCAACTGTACCCAACAATCCCTTATATTTTGGCAAAGCTAACGCATCCCCTGCAACAGCTTTCTTCTGCAACTGAAGCCTGACCTTGGCCGTATCCAGGGGAATCGTACATATCTAATTCCGAAAATTTGCACATTCAACAAAGCAGGTCAACTCACAAGCCAGAATATGCAACAGACAAAGTTACTGTTATGAGAAAATGGCCAAAACAAGGGGATTTCGGCACTGGAACACCAGCAGAACTCGTTAAGAGAGGTAGGAAGACCAAAATTACGACAGCTTCTGAGAATTTATGCAATAACTTTTCATAAAAGGATTAAACGAAAATCGAATACCCACAAACTTCTCAAAACAAAAGTTGAAATTCAGTAATGTCAGAATTCGAAAAACTGTTAAAAGACGGGAAAAAAATGGAGTGTACCTCGGCGAAGCAAGCAGCGAAAGCACTGCTAGCAAAAATTCCGGCGAATGAAATGTCCGATTTGAGCTTCCCGTGATCCGCCATCGTTAAAATGGAAAAAAATGAATGAAGTTAAGCCAAGTGAAAATGCAGCGAAACGATTCCGTGCTTCCATTGTCAGTTGTCTCCTTCATATATATATATATATATATATATATATGTATGTATTGTGCCTACTCAGCGCCAGCCATCTTCTTCTGTTTTTCTTAATTTTCTTTTCCAGTTTTTAGTTGTTGCATCGATTAATTTGCTTAAAGAATCAATTGGTTTTCAATTTTATGCTATTATCAAAACGTGCTATATTAATTATCATGCAAAAGTGGATAATGTTTGCTGACATTCACATATGATTATCCTTTCTTTGCTGGAGGCTGGTCATTTTGATTATATCGCTGGAATTTTTTTAACTTATAATACACTTAACGACTTTTATTATCCAAATTGAGTTTTAAATTACTATTATTAAAAAACAGCATTTTGCACATTGGATCGAGCATCCATATATATGAACTTTTTGTAGCAACTACAAGAAACTAGAAAATTAGTCGGATTTTGAGCTTATAGATATATCTTTGTTTGCAGTGACGGATCCAAGAATTTATCTGAGTTAGGACAAATCCATCTGAGTTAAGATGAATGCTCGATGACAGCCAAATATATGGGAAATAAAAAAATTCCGACGGAACCAACACGGGGCGACAGCCATAGCTCGTCGGGTACTGCTGCACCTCTGTCTGTTTGGTATATATTAAAATCTACTTAAATTGGTCAACTAAAGGTCAATGTCTTTTTGGACCGTGTAAAGGTTCTTAAGTTGAATGTTTTTACGAGTGTTTGGATGATAGTGTCAAAAATGGAAGGTTAGGGACTCCACCGCAATTTCTTGAAAGTTTTGATCCCATGCTGTAATTATCGCTAAAAATAATCAACACCAGCTAAGATCGAGAAAATAATTGCATGTAGACCCCAGTTGAAATCGAATCGAAATCACCGCAGTTCCTTCTCGATTAAGGCAAATTTCGCATATTAAAATCAGCCAAGTTTTTCAGAATTTTACATTATCATCTCAGTTCATCGCTCGAACTTCAAATTGCTGCCACTCTGTAGACCAGAAACGCAAAAATGGAGATGCCTTTGCTGTCATC